TTCTGCTCCCCACTCTGTCTCTGGTGAATCCTCTCACCCTCCGCATCTCTGGCCTGTACCCCAGTTCTGTACGAATAAATAAATCTTAAAAAAAAAATACTTTATATTTTAATTTCTTTACCTTCTCTACTCTTTGTGAGTTCTGTGCCTGTATCGCCATGTCTAGTGTGTGGCTTTTGCTAAAGTCTTCACTTCAAGATAATCTTTATCAGAGGTCATTTTTTAAGATTTATTTATTTATGCACGTAGAACTGGAGTTTAGGCCAGAGACAGAGTGGAAAGCAGAACAGGCAGATATACTGAAATACACTGCTGAGGGGAGCAGCGTGCTGGAGAGGAAAAGTCTGCACCATGTGGGTCACTCCTTGTGGAGGAATCAAACTCTTGATGAAGCAGCGGTGGCTCTAGCTTTGTAGTGCTGCACTTTAACCTATGTTGTGCCACCAGGGAGCGCCCTTGTCAGAGCCCTGAATCCAAAAATGAATGCTAAAAATGATGAAAAAAGAATATTGTGAAAAGGATGTACTTCCGTGCTGCCTCCCCCCACTGTTTTTTAAAATTTAGTTTTATATTCTTGTTTTTATTAAATCCCAACATTTCAACATTTTCTGCTTCTCGGCTCTTGTGATTTCAGGCATTACGTTTTGATTTTTATACTAGAAGCACAGCAGGGTCTAAAACAGAGTTTTTTTATAAAATTGATTTTGCCAGCATGAAATCACAGGCATTGATCTGTTACCTTCAGAATACCACCCTCCAGCTGTGCCTTGACTAACGCCAGGCAGTAGGGAGAAGCATGTTTGTCTGGTTCCTAAATGCCAGGAGGCACTTACTGTTCACACCATACAATTTAGTGTGGTTGGCTATTCAGCTTGTCTTTTTAGAGGCCAGGGATGGGTGGAGAGGGAATGAATTCAGACGAAGATTGAGTTGTGCTAACGACTAGTTTGTTTCACTTCCCCCACAAACACACACACTCTTTGATAGTCTTCCAGTAAAAATAGAAAATGAAAAATATCCTGGTCCAGCTTTCCAAAAGAGGCTACCTTAAAAAGGCAAAGTAGCCTGGCCCCTCAGAGATCTGTGCTGGGTCCTGAATTCATTTAGGCTGTGAAATGGTTATTTTAAAGACATCTTCAGCAAACCCGAAAGGTTAGAGTTCTTGGTACAGCTGTCATCAAAGGGATGCACTTCATTTGTACTTGCCCTCCACACACTTAAAAACTAGGTTGAGGGCCGTCCCTGGTTTCGCAGTGGGTCAAAGCACAGCACTAAGAAGCTAAAGCCATTTCAGCATGAGTTCCATCCCTGCCCCAGAGGTGATCTACACAGCGCGGCAGACCTCTCCTGACCTACCCGTTGCTCCCCTCAACAGTGTACTTCGTCAGTCGGCCTGTTCTGCTCCCCTCTCTGTCTCTGGTGAAGCCTCTCACCACCCCTGCATCTCTGGCCTGTACCCTAGTTCTGTATGCACAAATAAATCTTTAAAAAAAAAAAAACTAGGTTGAATGACACTAATACTGTGCACAGCCTTGGAAAAGGAGGCTGGGGTGGGTGAAGTAGGGACTTAAGAATATTTGCTTCTCAGTAAATAAATTCAAGAGTGTACTTTATGGCTTTATAAGACATTATTGCCTCCTTTAGTTCCTTTTTCATTGGTTTTCTCTAGCTAGATCTAAGCTGCCTTTTCTGTTAAATTCATTTATTTTTACTTACAACAAGGTTCTCTACTTTGACTTTGTGTGTGTGTCTTACACTCCTACTCACTGTTCTAAGAATTCATATTTCCCTTTGTCCCAGGTATTTACCACCAGAGTGTTTTGTGGTTGGGAAAGAACCACCAAAGATCTCAAATAAAGTTGACGTCTGGTCAGTGGGGGTGATCTTCTACCAGTGTCTTTATGGAAGGAAGGTAAGGACGATCACACAGTGGCTTGACTTCCTGTCTTGGCGGCACATGTAAACAGTGGCACAGTGTGAAATACTTGCTTGGAGTTAATCAAAATAGAATCCTGAAAGTTGTGGTTTGAAGAAAAAGTAGACTTAAAGGCTTCATGTATAAGCAGAAATTTTCAACCCTGTGGCCCCTAGTGAATTCTACTGGGCCACTGAAACATGAATTTTTTTGCTGTTCTCAATTAGATCCAGGACATGTTTTGATTCTATTAGTATGTGTAGGGAATTATATAAAGTAGTTTATTAAAGTATAATTTCCCAAGTTACTCTAAAGTGTTCCGAGAACTGAAACTTGAAATATCTATAGTGCCTTCTATTCCTGACCACTCCATTAGTTAAAGCTATTATTATTAATAAAAATATTTATTATTAATAAAAATATTTATTATTAATAAAAAGCATATTTCTGTCCTGGGAGGGGTGTCATAAAGTATTCATTGTTACCTCTGATCAAGAGGCTACATCATTTGAACAAGTAATAGCTTAGTTGGTGAACTACACACACAAATTTTCACTTTTCCCCCTTGTGGATCCGCCTTGTAAGTATGTATATTGGATGCAGTCATGTTTGTGTCTGCCCGCAGGGGGTCTGTCTTTCACGCCTCCCCACTAGGCTGTGGGCTTCAGCCATTTGTGAGTTCTCCCCTGGCCTGCAGTGTTTTGATTGCAGTCTCTAGGCCAGGCTTTTAATTCGGATTTCCACTTCCTCTTTAACTTCCTCCTTGGTCTATCTGTCTTTATCCTACCTCTCTAAAATGAGGAAATTATTCAGAACAAGTAGGGTTAATTACTACTTACACTCTGTAATAATGTGGGAGGACTGCTGATAATGGTGGCAGAGGTGATGTAGAAAAATAGCTTGCAGTCTTTTAGTAGAAACTGTGTAGAGGTAACACTACACTCGAACTGACTTGTCAAGAGTTTAGCAGAGAATAGCAGTTTGGGGCACAGAGGAAGCCACTAAGTAAGCGCCTACGCTCTCCTGTCCCCCTCTTTGTTCTTGTCCCTTTTGCCCTTCTACTTCCTTTCCATCTTCTCCACCTGAGTCTTGGGTCTGCTGGTGGTGTACGTGAGTACAGCCTGGGCCCTGCACGTAGCACTCAGGGCAAAAGAAGTTGCTGCTTGTGGCTCTCAAGCCTTTTCTTAGCTGTAGGCTAGGTTAACAGGTCTGACAGACATGGCAGACGCTGCTTCTGGTTCCAGCTCTGCCTTAGCCTAGATGCTGGGCTCTGAGTGAGTTTCCTTAAATGCTGAACCTTCTAGTCTTTATCTGTGAAATGGGAGGATTAGGTATGTCCTCCAGAGCTGCTCTAGCAGTCTCACTGAGACAGTCTTCTTTCCCTCCCCTCTGATTTTGAGTAGTGTTTTCTTGCATTTCAACCAGGTGCTCGTCTTTGTTTATTCTTATGTTTTGTTTTTATCCATAGCCCTTTGGCCATAACCAGTCCCAGCAAGACATTCTACAAGAAAATACTATTCTTAAAGCTACTGAAGTGCAGTTCCCGCCAAAGCCAGTAGTAACACCTGAAGCAAAGGTAAGGTCTGGCCCCATGACCAGTGAAACAGCAGCTTTGTCGTTGGTTTTATTTCTGTGGGTAATATCAGGTCACTCTCTATTGAATAGACCACTGGATACACATTTCATTACTTAAAAAATCTCCCTTCTAACTGTATTCCACCAACCACTAACCTTTTGTCCCTGTCTCCTCCCATGACAAATATTTATTATTAAATACCTGTTAAACACTAGATGCTGTTCCAGGTAGTAGAGATGGAATTGTGAATCAGGTGACCATGAATGGCCCAGATGAGGTCCCTGCCCTAAAGGAATTTACTTACCACCATGGGAGCCAAAACAATAACTAAAAACAGATAGATTCCAGATGGTGATAAATGTCAGAGTGAAAATAATCCAAGTATGGGGGTGGAGAGGTGGGAACCCCTCCCTTTCTTAAAAGATTTATTTATTTATTCATACAGAGCTGGGGTACAAGCCAGAGGTGCAGAGGCGGTGAGAGGCTTCACCAGAGACAGAGTGGGGAGCAGAACAGGCAGATCAAGGAAGTACACTGCTGAGGGGAGCAGCGGGCGGGTCAGGAGAGTTCTGCCTCGCTATGTGGGTCACCTCCGGGGCAGGCGGGGATCAGACTTGCACTAAAGTGGCTGCCGCTCACTTGTCGTGCTGTGTCTTAACCCATTGTGTTACTAAGGAGGGCCCAGAAACCCCTTTTATGATGGCATGGCAAGGGGGAACCTCAGCAATAAAGTGAGGTGTTTTGAGCAGTCAAGAATGATGTGAAGGTGGAAACCATGAGTGGAGTTAGGAGAAGACTGTTCCAGACAGAGAAGGGTGATGAAGCTCAGATGTGCATGTGGACATAGAAAGCCACGGGACAGAGGGGCGAGTGGCAGGAAAGGCGGCAAGTGGTATGTGAGGTGGTCCACACTGGCAGCTGCGAAGAGAGAAACTTCAAGGTAAAAGGAGTTTATTTGACTGGTATTCAAACCAAGATAACCTGGTCAGCTCTAATTCCAGGTATTTCACTAAAAATAGTTCTCTTTTATTTATTAATTTATTTTTTCAAGAAGCATCCAGAATTGGGGTACAGGCCAGAGGTGCAGGGGGTGGTGAGAGAATTCACCAGAGACAGAGTGGGGAGCAGAACAGGCAGATTAATGAAGTACACTGCTGAGGGGAGCAGTGGCCGGGTCAGGAAAGGCCTGCTGGGCTATGTGGGTCACCTCCCTGGCAGGAGATCGAACTCATGCTGCAGTGGCTGCATCTGGCTTCTTCATATTGCTTTGCTTTAGCCCATTGCACCAGGGAGGGCTCTGAATAGTCCTTTTTTTTTTAAAGATTTATTTTTTTATGTTTATAGAACTGGGGTGCAGGCCAGAGGTATGGTGGGTGAGAGGATTCACCAGAGACAGAGTGATTGACAAACAGAACAGGCAGATTGACAAAGGACACTGCTGAGGGGAGAAGCGGGCAGATCAGAAGAGGTCTGCCGTGCTATGTGGGTCAGCTCCCTGGGCGGGCATCGAACTGGCATCAAACTGGTGCTGCAGTGGCTTTGGAGAGATTCATAATGTGGTGCTTTAATACATTACGCCACCAGGAAGAGCCATGAATAGTCCTTTTTGAAGACTGAGGATCCTTATGTTAGTGTCTCTGAATTTGTTTTATATTTTCCAAATGCAATATAATCAAGCAGCTACTTAAGAGGTGTCTTTGATTTTGAAAAGCCAGGATTGCTGTTACACTTAGTGTTTTGTTAACTAAATGGAAAAAATAGAGAATCGGTAGCTTAGCTCATGATTTAGATTTTTCTAAATAGATCATATTTTTTTAGGGCATCTTTATATCCACAGCAAAATGGAGGAAAAGTATAGTTCCTGTGGACTGAGCCAGACCCCTTCCCCTCGGCACCCCTTCCCCCGCTGTCAGTAGCCCACAGTGGAGTGTTGTGTTTGTCCCAGCAGCGAGCCTACTTCAGACATCATCAGCACTCTGCTGTAAAGTACGGGCTTGGGTAGGCAGGTAGTAGGGACACTTTAGATTTTTAAAAACTGGTTCATCTATTTAAAAATAATTATAAGACTGGTTAAATAGAGTCCTCTAGTTAAAAATTAGGTAAAGACTGATAGTCTCTTTCGGAACTTTCTTAAGAGCTGTGGAAACTGATACCCTGTAGCCCTTGTACTGAGGCAACAGAATTTCTATCATGTTGGTAGAAATTAGAATTTCAAACCCTTCCGCACTCCCAGAATGTCTCCTGTCCTCCTGGGGAGGCAAGTCCTGTTCAGGTTTTCTTGTACCGCGTGCCCGTGCACCCAAATCTTTGCTAATGGTCTTTCAGAAGAAAAAGAGACAACACAGGGAAAATACGCAACAGTCTGTGATACCTGGCAGCCTCTCCTCACCTGCCTGCCATTAAAATTTCTTCTCTGTCGGGAAGTTCACCAGGAGGCCACGGTTTGTAGATGCCGAACTGTGAAGCGAGGCTGGCTGTGCTGACAGCCCAGCGAGGCGCTTGTGTTGGCCTTTCTCCTTCCGGGCAGAGGCACGTAGCAGCAGTGCGCCGCGGCCCTCAGGAGTGCTGCTGCTGCTGCTGCTGCTGCTGCTGCTGCTGCTGCTGCTGCTGCTGCTGGCAGCACGAGTGGCGCCAGCCTTCCCTTGCCTTGCCCAGGTCCAGCTGTGGTTTCCAGGAAAGGCCCGCGGCCCCTCTTCTAGGAGATGTGTGCTCTGGGCACTGGCAGCTGCTGCAGCCTTTGGGTTTGGGGTTGCCAGGATTATTTGCCTCAGGTTTCTTCAAGAGACTTTCCTTTCAGGCATTTATTCGGCGATGCTTGGCCTACCGAAAGGAGGACCGCATCGACGTCCAGCAGCTGGCCTGTGACCCCTACTTGCTGCCTCACATCCGGAAGTCGGTCTCCACGAGTAGCCCGGCTGGAGCTGCTATCGCGTCAACCTCTGGGGCATCCAATAACAGTTCTTCAAATTGAGAGCGACTCCTTGCCACAAACTGTTCAGCACATACAAAGTGGACAAATGGCATTCAGCAGCGGGTTTGGAACATAGCGAATCCGAATGGATCTCATGAAACCTGTACCAGGTGCTTTTATTTTCTTGCTTTTTTTCCCATCCATAGAGCATGACAGCATCGATTCTCATTGAGGAGAAACCTTGGGCAGCTCTGGCCCGGCCTCATAGGAAAAGGCCCCGCCCAAGGTTCCGGCGTCAACGGCCACTGCGCGTGGCTGCTCTGAGTGAGGAAAAATTAAAAAGAAAAACTGGTTCCATGTACTGTGAACTTGAAAAACATGCAGACTCAGGGGGGGGTCCCTGATACAGTGCTTCAGATGAAGAATGTGGACTTGAAAATACAGACTGGGCTAGTCCAGTGTCTATATTTAAACTTGTTCTTTTCTTTTAATAAAGTTTAGGTAACATCTCCTGAAAAGCTTGTAGCACTAAGGCTCAGCTGGGGATGGTGTTTGACTTCGGAGGAGAAAAGTTGCTATTGCCCGTTAAAGGCACTAGAGTTAGTGTTTTATCCCTAAATAATTTCAGTTTTTAAAAACATGCAGCTTCCCTCCCCCTTTTTTTATTTTTGAAAGAATACATTTGGTCATAAAGTGAAACCCGTATTAGCAAGTACGTGGCAATGTTCATTCCAGTCAGATGCAGCGTCCTCCTCCACGGGCTCCTGGCTACAGCTGCTTCCCTCGCCTCAGCAAGGAGCCTGAGCGGGCTGGACTGCAGGCTGTGGCCTTGGGCAAGATGGGGCTGGAAGACTGCGGCTTGGAGTCTCTAGGGTTCAACTATTTCTTCACAATTTGAACACTTGACGGTTGTCCCTTTTAATTTATTTGAAGTGCTATTTTTTTAAATAAAGGTTCATCTGTCCATGCAGTGCTCTTGGATTCTCTGAGTGTGGTACCTGTGGAATCTGTCCCAGAGGTAGGCAGAACATGGGCTCGGGGAGCCAGAGTCTCCGGGGTCAGGGCTTCCTTCCACAGTCTGTGCGCTTGCTGGCGGTGGACGGTTCTCGTTAACCACCTTATTAAAACTTGATCAGCACATAAGCTTTCCTCTGTTAGGTCTTTTGGCAGGAAACAACCTCCAGTTCTCTCGGTTTTGTGGGTGTGTGCTGGCGTGTGTCTGTGTGCGTGTGTGCACACACTTTGTCTCTCACTCTCATAGGTGCCTCAGATGGAATTAAAAATTAATCTCCAGAGAAATAGGTATTTCAAATGTGAACATTCTTTTAGAACTTATGATGATAATTATTACTGACTTGATTATTTCGGAGCTGTGTGGCCAGCTGAAATGGGAGCTGTGTGCCCCGCTGTGCCCGTGAGACAGCAGAGCGGGTCGAGAGGGAAGGAGGCCAGAGCCTGAACATGTGGTAGCCAGCTTGGAATGCTACTGACATATGTGGCAAGAGGGCTCAGCCAGAAATATTTAAAGATGCAGCATTCAGGCATGCAAGTTCCCTGGCCAGGCTGGAGGGATGTCGGGATGGGTGGAGAGCTTGTCGCTAACTCCTGACTAGTATTTCTTTTACGTGTGAAAATGCCACCGATGTCACCTTTCCGAGACCCTTTGTTGGCCTTGTGGACACCCTGTTCTCTTCCCAGGGTCAGATGGAGCATTCCAGGCGGAGAGGAGCTCCTGGGTAGGTGTCGTCTGGAGCCTGTCAGAAGGAGGGCCGCCCGGAGCACTTGGTCGTCTGTGTGTGCGTGCACATGTCTACACGCATACATCTGCACGTGACAGACATGTGTGCCATACTTTTTTCCCCCACCATTGTTTTCAAGCTGCGAAGGAGAGTGTGTGCTTGGGTTGAGCACTGCATTGGGAGGATGGTGTCTGCATGCGAGAATATGAGGTTGAGGCCACGTTGAAACTTTGGCAGAGCAATTATGTTTCATTCCTTTTTTCCTCCTTCACATTCACTGATCTTTCAGAATTTTTTTCACACTTTAAGGTTCAAAGAAAGTGGTATCTTTAAGACTTCCCTGCCTCTTTCTCCCCATGGACTTGTCAGTGAACCCATAGGACTTTATTTGTTGAGCTGCCTTTTCTGCTCCATCCTGAAGGAAGGGCTGCCCTTTCCTGGCTTCCCTGGGCCCTCGATGTGGTTGGAGTGAACTGAACTTGGTTGGATGTGGGGAGGCCTCTCTCTGCTGCGGAGCCACGCCCCAGAGAACATTGCAGAACGCTGATCTTTGCTGGACTTCAGTGAACTTAGTGGGGGTTCTTCCATGACTTATTTTGTTAATATGGGTTTCACTTTTTCCAAGGATAATCCCTAATTGCCACAATGTTGATTAACTTGAAACAATGACCAAAAATATATTAATTTGTAATTAATTATCTCCAGCCAAATTGTTTTGACCTTCCCCAATTTGGTGGGTAAGAAGGACATTAAAATAAGTTTTAAGAAGTGAGTTTCCCAGCCTCTTGGTTTTACAGTGGTTGTCATGCTGCAGACAGGTCTTGCAAGAGAGGGTCCTAGACAGCAGGACATTGCAGCCTGTGTGGGAATGTTCTCTTCATGCAACACCTTACGTAGCTCTGGAATATGAACAGCGGTGTTCGTTGGACAGAATCTACCAGGGTAGGGAGGGTCCAGCCATCACCATCGAGGGCTGCAGACCGGCTTCTGGGAAGGGATGGAACACAGGGACGAGGGGGAGGAATGGGTCTCTGAGTCTTACATCACGAGACGGGTTCCTTGAGGTAGAGAATCTCCTGCAGGAGCCTCCTGTGCCCCACGTCTGGCTGACCTGGATACATCGCTGTCTTTTCAGGTTTGTTTGCTTCCTTCAAGTCAAGGGAGGACAGGTTTTCCTCCAGTTGAAACTGGCAACTAAGGAGCACTTGTGTTTATTAATTTAGATAAAAGCTCGTGGACTCCCAGAGCCAGAGCAGCAGGCCTTTCCTAAGAAGGACTAGCATGTCTAAGAAGCAAATTCTGCAAGTGACTTGACTACCTTGGCAACTTTTTCCTTTTTAAGCCTTTCCGCCCCTCCCTTATTCATCATTTTAATTACCCTGCTCTTTTTGTCTGTAATTAAACTCTGCCTCGGGTGAGTGCGGGAGATTTGGTACACAAACTAGCTGGGATACAGGGAGGCCCTGCTTTGTAAAATGAATGGCTCTGCTTTAGTTTCTTAAGGCAAAATCACCTTGAGATTAAGAGCCAGGGCCTTGGGACTAGGTCTGGCTCACCTCCACCTCTGTAAGCTTCAGAGTTCATGCCTTGTGTGGTTGTTGGCCAAAGAGAACTACGGTATATAAGTGCACATAAGCTGGAAATCAGAAAATGTGGTTTGAAAAAGATCGTAAGATCCAGTAAGTAGAAAAGCTGTCTTGGAACCTCCAAGTATGCTGGTTGGGGTTCAGAGCCTTTCTGTTCACTAGGATAACTGAGAGAGACTTTTGGGGATCCTTCCCCTTTGGTGTGAGACTCAGTATCAACTTCTGCCCTGTGGGGATCAGCCACCTTCTCTTACCCAAGACGGCCTGCAGCTGAATCCAGAAGGCTTTTCTCAGCCTGCGGCTACCAGCAGCATCACCTGAGAACCTGATAGAGACACAGGCCCTGGCCCTATCTCGCTCCCAGACCCTTGCAGAAGGAAGTCACAAGTCCTGTGCCCTGTCAGCCATTGCAGTGAGGGTGAGTAGCAGGAGAGGTGGCTGTCAGGCCTTGTCTAAACTTGCCCAGCGGGCAGACAGAGTTCTCTTTTATTTTCTGTCTCAAAAATAAAGAAATCCACCTTAAGCTCTGGGACCTAGGACCAGTATCCTATATATGTTACTTCATGGCCATCCCTGGGAGAGCCCCACAGTACACATGGGACATAGGTGCCTCCTGTTCTATCAAAAAATCATTTACTCCTTGGAGTAAATTTCTCAAGTGTGACTTTCTCTTAACATAAGGCATCAGTGTCTTATGTGACTTGCTGTGCCTTTCTCCTGAGGGCCCACACTGAGGCAGGGGGGGGGAGCGGGGGAGGGCTGAGACCAGAGCGGCCTGCTGTCTGATGGGAAATGGGAAAAGCCTGGATGGGGGTGGCTCTGCAGGGTGGGGGAGGAGAGGGTAGAGAAATTGCTGGATGGGAGGAGAGTCAGGAGGGAGTGGTTAGGGACTGCCACTGAGCTCTGGGGGGGTGGGAATGCCTGCCAGAGGCTGGGAAAACAGTCTGGCCTGGGAGCAGGTCTGAGACCTGGTGGGGGCAGGGAGTACAAGAGCGCTATTGTGCTAGGGGAGCTCAGCAGGGCCAGAGACTGGCTGCAGTCAGTGAAGGGGTGTGGGGATGTGTGAGGCGCTGGAGAGAGACCCTGTGGTGAGAGGGGGTCAGAGAGCAGCTGGCTGGCTGACTCAGCCCCACCCATCCCTGCCTGGGATCTGGCCTCCAGGAAGTACGTACCCAGCCAGAGATCCAGGTGGCCTCAGGATCTGTCCCAGCCTACTACTGGGATGGCCTGCTCTGCGTACTGTCCAGGCCCTTTCACCCTGGGGGCAGTTCGGGAGGGGTGCAGAGGGCAGAGGGCAGGTCAGGGAAGGGAAGGGAATGAGCTTACAGCTTACACTGCCACCTTATACGCATTGTGTCAGGCAGGAAACTGACCCAGAGACACTTGGTGACAGGCAGTAGGTAGAGCAGGGCTGGTTGGGGGAGAGCAGGAGTGATGATTTTTTGAGGTGGATTCCCTGTGTGTGGATGCAGGCTGCACCGCTGCTCCCGTGGGAGGCTCCTCTTGCCCCATCTCAGGCCGCACTCCCCCCGGCCACCTTCACTGCAGCCCTCTCCACCGCAGGCTGGCCCTTAGGAATCTACTGGTTTCCCTAAATCCATTTGGTCTGCTGGCCTAACAAGCAGTCCTGGGATGAAATTGAGCTTAGTCAGAGGGGAGATGGACTCCTGCTTCACAGAACTTTTCTGCTTCATGCTCCCTGAGCCACCTCATCTTGTCATCTCACATTATAGGTTGCCTTGTGAAAATCTGCCCTGCCCAGCCCTGGGCAGCTCTGTCTTTTTGCTCCTTGTGCCCTAGTAGGGCCCTCTGCCCTGGCTTCCTTACGAGTCCTGTCAGGCTTGAACGGGGTGGGAAACATGAAGATGCTTTAAGCCGCTGCAGAAGTAAAAAGCAGGGTAGCACTAGATGCCTTCTCCACACAAGGGCCCCTGGAAAGATGTCTGCAGGTCTGGAAGGCCCCCAGTGCCGGCCTGGCCTGTTCGTGGAAGGGAGCCAGCCAGAGAGTCAGAATGGCCGAGGGAAGGGCATGGCTTTGGGAAGGGAGATAAGGAATGTCTTCCCATGAAAATTAATATCAGGAACCATTGCTTGTGTACCTCAGTAGATTATCAGAACTTTCCCCACAGCCTTAACGCCAGCCCTGCTCTTCAGCCCATACTGACTGGACAGAGCTGCCCAGTTTGGGAATGGTAACACAAGATGACAGTAGAGCTCCGGGAGGACCGTGTGCAGGTCACACCTCTGAACTTGCTGTGTGACCTTAGCGCTCACAGACCAAGCCACAGATACCACATGTATGTAAACTTCACTACTCATAACACCAGCCAAGAGCCTTCTGCTTATTATGTGCTGGGCTTGTAACGTGATGTGTCTGGGAGCTGTAAGTTCTGTGGGGGCAAGAGGCAGCTCCTGAGGCCTAGGGGGGAGCCTGTGCCTGCAGAGCCAATCTGGCCATTTGCCTCCGGGACAGGATCAGTGGGAGCCACAGAGGGCTGGCCGCAGGGGACTGGCTTTGCCCGGCTCTGGAGGAGGGTCAAGTACTGAGACTGGAGAAAACCGCCTTCTGCTTTTCCTTCCTGAGCTGGGAGGAACAGGCAGGGGCCAAGAAGCAGCCTTTGGTGGCATCTTGAAAAGACGAGATG